TGATTTCATATTTTCGGGGTTCTTGAAATGGGGTTCCAGCGAATTGTTTTCTGGTTCCAGCGTGGTTTTGTTGGTGATTCCCTTTATGATCCACATCATTGTATGCACCAAGGAATTGCAGCGTGACTTTTGGCGGATTCATGTTTGGGCTTCCAGCGGTTGGTGCAATGTGTGTTTCGGTTTTGGCGTGCTTTTCCGCTGGATTTACTTTTTCCATGCATCGCCTGTCGCTTGGGCTTCGTTTCAAATGTTCCGGATTCCGATATCAGGTTTTCAGTTTAAGCGTCTTCGGATCCCTATCATTCGCAATCGCCGAGCCAACAACACCAAACAACTCAGCGACCCAGTGATCTGAAAATGACAACCAACATAGACAATCGCATTTTCAGATTTTCAATTGTTCGGATTCGCGTTTTCAATTGTCAGGGTCGCGTGGGTCGCGTGTTTTGCAATCGCCGCATTTGCCTGCTCGCGAGGTCGTCAAGACAACCCCAAGCCTCGACAAGACGGCCAGGGGGCGGTCTAGGACGGCCCCAAGCTGGCCCAAGAGAGGCTAGAGGCTGGGGGGGGGGCCGGACAACTTAGACCTCAGAGGCTCTTCGAGGGCCCCTCGACGGCCCAAGAGGGCAGAGGGCCCCACGACTCGCAGCCGACGTGCTGAGAACCCCACACGGCCGAGAGGAACCCAGGACCAGAGGGTAGATGAATTCAGAGCCTCAGGGCAGCAATACCACACAAATGCGCCTCCCCTCCTGGCCCTCCTCCCCCCTCCGTCGTCGTCGTCGTCGTCGTCGTCGTCGTCGTCGTCGTCGTCGTCGTCGTCGTCGTCGTCGTCGTCGTCCTAATCGCAGCCCGCAGCTGCCCGTAGCTCGAGGCCCGAGGCTCTCGAGTGGACGCTCTTGCGGGCCGGGCGCCCGCCATCGCCATCGGGCCTCCCCCCCTGCACCTCGAGGCCGTGAGGCCTCGGGGCCGCAACGCTCTAGCGGCGGGACCGCGGGGTGGTGCCGACTACGCGGGAGCGGCCAAGAGGGGGGTGTCCAAGAGGGGGTGGTGCAAATCATGACCGGCGGCATGTGCGCGGCCCAGCGGGGGGGGCAGGGACGCGATGAAGTAAGGAGAGGCGCCATGAAATCTGGGGAGATATTATGGCCCCCGCCATGATCTCCCCCCCCTAGTCATCACCCCCCCTCCTTTGCCGCCCCCGAACTACCCTGGCGAATGGGCGCCAGGCCGGGTCGGCCCCAGGCCCCCAGGGCTTTGGTTCTGGAGGCGGGCTCGACGGGCCCAGGCGGCCCGGACGCGCCCGACGCCCCAGATTGGCAGGCCCGAGCGGGGCGCCCCAGAGTGCTCCGCCCCAGTTGCGGCGCGGGAGGAGGCGGCTTCATGACGAACCCCCACGGCGCCGCGGTCGTCGAGGAGGGCGCGCTGACGCTGGCGGGCACGCGAGGCCGGCTCCGCGCTATGCAATTGCACACAAGCGCCAACAGTCATCGCCAGATTGGTTCATGTCGGTCGGAGGTTCGTGTCGGTTTGCGTGATGGTTGTGCTGGGTTCTTCGATTGGGATATGAGGTTCTTTGCGGTTGGAATTGGTAACGTGTTGCTTTGTTCGGTCAGCTTCGTTGGAATTCCCGTTGGAACACGAGGTTCATTTTGGTTGGACTGTGTCTTGAATTCTTGTCGGTTGGTGTGTGCGTGCGGTCTAGGTTGGCGTGCGAGTGGCACTCTTGTTCTAGGTATGTTCTCGGATTCTCGCATGGCAGGCGCCCAGTAATCTATCTTTCGGTGTGTGTGTGTGTGTGCGTGTGCGTGCTCTTGGTGATCTTGCGATGCGTGTTCTAGGCTTGTAGGTTGTTTTCTTACGTTTTTTCCTATTGATTTGTGTGCGCATTCTTGGCAGGTGGGCACGAGACGCGCCGAAACACCTCGCGCGCGGCATCTCGCAACCCATAATTGCGAGGATATCTCGAGCAAAACGCCCTGGACCGCCTCGCGAACGGCATCGCGGAGCCCAAAATTCCGAGGACGTCTCAGGCGAAATGCCCAACTCCGGCCGACTAGGAAACGAGAGTGGTGAGGATGTCTCAGGCGCAACGGCCCGGGCCACCTCAGAACGTCGAGGATGCCGCTACATGCCCGTCCCTCGGCCGGGCCGTTAGATGTTACGATGCAGTTCGAAACTCATGAAAAGAGACAGTTGCGGAAGGTTGCCAGATACTCATGAATAGAACCCACGCGCTGATGACAATAGGCGGGGACATTGGTCAAGTACAGTGTCGGTGCCCCAAATGTTAACTGGAGCCTGAGCCGAAAGGCTACGGATGGATGTGTAAGCCATGTGGTACAAACTATGTAGCGAGAGATGCGGCAGCGAGGCGGCACCAAAGACGGCAACGGGGCGCTACCAACCAGGAACGAACCGAAACTCCGACACACCCACCCAAAGCACGTGGCGGCACCGCCCAACCCGACGCACGAGGCCAGGATTCTGGTAACAAAGTAAGGTCCTGCGCTCCCGACGCCACGATTTCTGATGACTACCCTGCGACGTAACGAACCCGTTTGCATCAAGTGACAAAAAAAGATGGCCCAAATCATTATAGATGATCATGTAACGCAAGAGCCGTCATTTGCCGTGCAAGCTACATAACATGCATGCACGTTGCACGACGCACCCCAAAGGATGGCGAGGTCCCGAGCATATCTGCGCAACACCGGGCTACTAAGCTGGCCCCCAAGGAGCCCACGGAAGTGGCAAAAGCTTCGCAGTTCGGAGCCCCAGATGCCCCAGCGATGGCCAGATCCCGTCTTGATCTGCACAGCTACGCGCCAAGCTGGCCGCCCCCAGCAACCCTCAAAAGAGGCACCCCTCTCGCACTTCGAACCCCCCAAAGATGGCAAGACCACGACGCCATTCCGCTGCCCCCCCCACCCACTCCTCCCGCAGCAGCCCTTGCGAGTGGCCCTGCGAAGAGGCCCCACGACGGCTCCAGACTGGCGCGATGCAGGTCCAAATGCTCGGGCACGTGCGCGTCGACGTCACGGCCCCGAGGACTCACTGGCTGCGACGTCCCTCGCATCAACCACAAGCGGTCCACTCCCGCGAATCCTGGAAGCTACCACGTGCAGCCCATGGCCTTCTGAAATGGATCGTGATTTGCAAGACTGGTGCACAGCCCCGTTGGGCGGTGAACCTTCGCGACTGCAATCTCCGCAGCATCCACCGACATGTCCCAATTGGCATCGACTGCGCTGATGAAACTAAGAAAGCTGGCGAAGAATTCGCCGGCCCACGGGCCAGAGGCGTGCTAAGATCTCCGGTAACTGGTTAACAATATTTCTACTTCGCGCGCGCGCGGGGCTGCCCCTAGGGGTTCCCCGACGAAAAATACTCTGGGACGGTCCCGGGACGGTCCCGGGACGTTCGGGCCAGAGATGGTTTTCCGTCTGGGCGCCGCCCTCGAGGCCCTACAGAGAGCCCCAAGAAGGGCCGCGAGGCCGCCAAGGGCCCCCCAAGATAATTCAAGAGTGCTCCGAGATGCCACACACCCTCGTTTCAAGACGCCCAAGATGGCTCCCAGACGCCCCAACAGGCCCACAAGAAGCGTCCCAAGAGGCAAGAATCGTCCCATTCCTTAAGCAAAGTGTGTATTCTTAGCATATTCGCCACTAGAGCTCTCATAACGTCAAAAGCGGCCCAGGAGGCCCCCAAGATCGCCCCAAGACGGCCCACGAGGCCCCCAAGAGGGCCCAAAAACCGCCCCAGAGGGCCCCAAGACGACCCAAGAGGCCTCCAAGACAGCCCAAGAGGCCCCGGCCCCCAAGACGGCTTCAAGAGGGGGTCCAGACGGGAGACCCGCATGGATATTTCGAGCCCTCGGCCCCGAGAGGCCCCCAGGAGCGCCCAAGAGGCCCACGAAAGGCTCCCAAGAGGCCCCAAGAGGCCCCCAGGAGGCCCTAAGATGCCCCCACGAGGCCCCCAGGAGGCCCTCAAGAGGCCCCCAAGCGGCCCCAGGAGGCCCTCCTAATGCCCCCCCAAGCACGCAAGCAAGTGCCAGCAATGCTACAATATGGGCCGGCGGAATGAGCGAAGCGATTGAATCACTGGTCCCAACCGCCGCTGGGGGGGGCCCATGCTGCCCGTAGACCAAGTGCCTCAACCTGAACCGTGCCCTGGCGTCACGGGTAGCAACATGGCGAACGCCTGGGGAACCCACCTACTGCACGGGGTGCCCACGAGGCGCCCACGAGGCGGCGCGGGCGGCAACGCGGCAACACCCAGGAAACCCATCCAGCGCCCTCAAACAAAACAAGTGGCAACCTTTAAGTGCGAGCTCCTTGTCGGGGGCGTCGGACAAAGAATACTGAAGCTATGTCGTGTAATCATCGTGGTGTGCGAAGGAAGAAAGAGCTATGCGGCGCAAGCTAACTGAGCTATGGACATGTAAATGTTGCTGTGTAAGCCCGTGTGGTCTGAGCAATTTCCGCCGGAAATCTATGCGTTGTAAACGATGCGGCGCAGGCTGTGTCAGACAAGCCGTGTTGTGAACTACGGGGGTGAAAGCTACGCGTTGTAAATATGCTGTGTAACGTGTGAGGCGATAGCTACGCTGTGTAAGCTATGTGGGGTGAGCTATGGAGGTGAACACTCTGTGCGAGGGAATGCGGTGTGAGCTGTGCGGTGTACGCTGTGCGGTGTAAACTGTGTAAGGCAGGCTGGCCGGGCTCGACTGGAAGGGCAGCTGTGGCGCTTGCGCGGCGTGGTGAGAGCTACGACGTGCAGCCCATGCGGTGCAAGCTATGTGGTGTGAGCTATGCGGTGTAAGCCGTGGGCGCCACGAAGCGCCCACGAAGCAGCACAGGCCAGCAGCTCGGCAGCGCTCCGCCGTGCACCTCAAGAGCGGGGCGCGCCCGTGAGTCGGCACGGGCCCGCAGCATGGCGAGACCCCGCCGTACAAGGGGGAGGAGGAGGAGGAGGAGGAGGAGGAGGAGGAGGACTCTGCTGGACTCTGCTGACCGCCGCTCACGCGGCACCAATCTTTCCGCAGCCCCTGGGGTCGCAGGAGGAACACGGGCCTCCGCAACCCCAGGGCACCAGCCGCAGGAGGAACACGAGCCTCCGCGACTGCAGAACACAGCGCAGGAGGAACACGAGCCTCCGCGCGAAAAGGCCCTGGCGGCGGAGGAACACGAGCCTCCGCCAGCCAGGCAGGGCGCAGGAGGAACACGAGCCTCCGCACCGAACCAGGAGTGCCGCAGGAGGACACGAGCCTCCGCGGCACTCACGACAAGGCCGCCTTCTAGGGCGGGAGGCCGAGCTTCACCATGAACGCCGTGCGCACGTCCTCCTCCAAGGCCGAGGCAGCGTCGACAGCATCATCGACGGCCGCGACGTGCCAAGCCTCCGCCTGCGCCAAGGCGTCCTTCGCCTGCTGGACGCCGAAGGCCGCCTGCTGCATGACCTCGAACTTCCTGGCGGCCGTAACGACGCGGGCCAGGCCGTCCTGGGCCCGGAGCGGGTCGAGGTCCGCGTGCACGACCTGCGATACCTTCTCGGTCTCCACGTTCACCAGGGCCTTCGCCGTGGAGGCCTTCACATCCATGAGCTTCTCGGAGCCGTACGTGGTCGCGGTCAAATTCTTCACCTCATCAGTGGCCTTGCTATCCTCCGACTCGCACGGGGTCGTATCCACGGCCTGCATACGGCGCCGCCCCCCCCGCTGACGACGCTTGGCCTCCAGCGCGGTCTTGGGGAGGGTGTCAACACCAGCGCCCAGGCCGTCCTTCAGCGCCACGTTCCTGTACGCCTTCTGCCCCGAAGTCACGTTCCTCTGCTCCACCTTGCGCGTGAGGAAGGGCCGCACCATACCAAGGCGCGCGTCGACCTCCTTCTGCACATCGTCGGAGCCACTGAGGTCCGCCACCTGCTTCTCCTCGTGGTCGTGCACCTTGTCGCCGTCCACGATGTGGGGCGACGGGGCCGTCTCGGTCAGCACCTCCACTCCAGTGCGGATCGCCGCCGCCACCGCCGCCGCCACGACCTGGCGACTTCCTCCTCCAGCAGCAGCGCCAGCCGCCGCCGCCTGCGCGAGCGGGCCGAGGGCCGCCAGCATCGCGCGCACATCCCCACAGAGGGGCCCGACCGCCGCCATCGCCCGAGCGCCCCGCGGGAGGCGGCAGAGCACAGCTTGAGCCAAAATGGCTACGGCGGGAGGAGGAGGAGGAGGAGGAGGAGGAGGAGGAGGAAGAGAAGCAGGAGGAGGAGGAGGAGGAGGAGAGGGAGGAGGAGGAGGAGGAGGAGGGAGGAGGAGGAGGAGGAGGAGGAGGAGGAGAGGAGGAGGGAGGAGGAGGAGGAGGAGAGGGAGGAGAGAGGAGGAGGAGGAGGAGGAGGGGGAGGGGAGGAGGGAGGGGAGGAGGAGAAGGAGGAGGAGGAGGAGGAGGAGGAGGAGGAGGAGGGTCAGATACACACTCCTAGGTGCAAACGCTGCCTGGGGAAGCGCGCCGTCTCGACGGCGACAACCATGTGATTTGCCGATTTGACTCGGACGTGAGATTCGAGCATGCCCTACCAATCCTCCTCATCCCTCCCACACCCTCCCTCCCCCTCCCTGTCATCATACCTTCTTCCCTTCCTATTACCCGTGGCATGTTTGGATTACAAGTCCTCCTCTTGTTCCTGTCAACTTCCTCCTCGCCACTCCTCCACATCCTCCTTCTAACGCTGCTTCGTTCTACCACTTCTCGCGGAAATGTGGCATGTGTGTGTGTGAGTGAGGTAGGGTGATGGGAAGGGAGTGGAAGCTAGCACATGCACACATGCCTCCCTCTCTTCCCCTCTCTCTCTCTCCCTCTCCCTCTCGTTCTCCCTCCATCTCTCTCTCTCTCTCCCCTCTCTCCCTCTGCATGTGCATCTCTAAAGTATGCTGCTGTCTCGTTGTTCGATTTCTTTCTCTGTACATATGTTCTCTGTACGAATGTACTTCACCTCTCTCTCTAGCACTTGTTTGTTTTCCCTCTCTCTCTCTCTCTCCCTCTCTGTCTATCCACAAAGAGCTGTACTAAGACCATGGTTACCGACATTTCTTACACATCAGACATGCATTGATCTCCGGCGCGCAGGCGGGGCTGGGTCCAGAGCGCCACCAGCGGGCCCCAAGACGGCCCCAGAATGCCCAAAGAGGGCCCCAAGACCAACACGGGCCAAGAGGACTCCAACAGGCTTTGCAGACGGTCTAAGAGGGCCCCGCGTCGCCGAGCGATCGGTCCAAGACGCTCCAGATGCCTCCAGACAGCCCAAGAGGCATCCAAGACGCACCAAGAGGCCTCCAAGAGCCCTCCCAAGAGAGCTCCACGAGACACAACTCGTCCCATCCTCTTGGGGGTATATACATTTGTTGCATCTGCGACTTTTCGGCCTGCACGGCGTCCAAGACGGCCCAAGAGACCTCCCAGATCACCCCAAGACAGCTTAAGAGGCGAGGCTTCCAAGAGGACCCCGCGAAGCCCCAGGGCCACAAGTTGGCCCACGAAGCGCCCAAGACGGCCCAAGAGGGCCCTCAGAGGACCCTCGGAAAGGCTCAAGGGGGGGAACTCGAATTCATAGTTCGACCCCCCTGCCCCAAAGGGGTCCCCGAGCCCACCAGCAGGCCCCCCAAAGGCTGCAGGGCCTCCTGACAGGCCCCAGTAGCTCTGACCTCCAGACTAGCAAACGACTGCGCGCCATAGCCGTCCCAATCCGATTATTGACCGAACCGAGGAACCAATAGTACGGAGACGGTCAGAGGTCAAAGAGCCAATTTCCATCATGTGTGGATCTGCTTGTTGCATCAGATCTGTGTAAATCAGCACAGGTGTGTAGATATACCTATACATGTATGCATATACCTCCACACCTATATACACACATAGGTATACACCTCCACCTCCTCCTCCCTCTACTCTTTCCTCCTCCGTCCCCCCCGCTCTCTCGCACCGTGTTTTTGTTATAGTTTCTCTCCCTCTCTCTCTCTCTCTCTCTCCCTCTCTCCCTCTCCCTCTCTCTCTCCAGCTCGTGGGGCGCTCGCGAACACAGAAGATCAAGGAGAATGGCTTCCGCCATCGCCTGCCCGCATTTCCAGGCCTCGCGGCCTCGCCAGTGGTTTCGGGCGAGGGCCCCGGCCTGGATGCCGCCGCGAGTGCAGGCGTGGGGCCAGGGGCAGACGATTCCTACCTGTTCACTCCGCCGAATTCCTTCGTCCTTCCCGTCCCGTTCCCTTTCCCACCTCCCCATCCCCCATCCTCGCCATCCTCTCCATCCTTCGGCTTTCCATCCCCCCTTCTCCCCCCCCCTCCGTTCTTGTTCTTCCCTCTCCATGATCTGCTCTCCCCCTTCCTCGGCATATCCATTCTACACAGTAAGAGGTAGGACGAGGGAATCCTTTTTATCCTTTGTATCCTTCATCTGCTATCTGCCCCATTCCTCAGTCTATTCCTCCCATCCCCTTTCTCCCCCCCCATGCTCCCCCTGCTCCTGATCCTCTTCCTCCTCCCCCCTCTCCCTCTTCTGTTGCGTTTTCCCCCGCTCCCCCTCTCCATCGACGTGGCTTTCCTGGTCTGCTGGTCCTCCTCGGCCGTCCTTGCCCTCGTCGTCAGCGCAGGCCGTCTGGTCCTCCTCTCAAGGGGCCCAAGGAAACACAACTAAATATACACAAATCCCAAGGCTCCCAATATCTCAAAATAGTTTGTGAATTGACGACTTCCCTTCCGTTTCTGATATTTCAACTACAAATGTTCATGGGCATCTATGCTTAGCTATCTGTATATACTTGTCTCACCTGATCCTCTCCTTTGACCACCCCATCCCTGCTGTTAGGAACCACCTGCTATGTCTTCGTGAGAACGATTCAGGGCTGTTAAGCCCAATTAAGGAACCGTGACATTAGACACGCCCAGACTAAGCCAGGGCAAACCCGATCGAGCCAGTTTAAACGGGGTTTGGCGGAACTAGCTATGCTGGTGGTCGACCACGAATAGCCGTTGATGCTGACTTGAACCTCCCCGAAATTACACCTCCCCTTCCTCCACCCCATTCTGCCGAACAGACCAAGCCCTCCGAATGCTGTGCGAAGCCTTCCGGAGACCACCTGACACCTCCGCAGAACGGTTTCCCTCAGCCAGTTCCCAGCCCCCCTCTCCTTTCCGGGCATCCGACGCCGTGTCTCTGATGCAGGGCAGCTCCCCAGTGGTCTGCAGCCCTTCCTGGGGACGGGCGTCTCACCGCGAGTCGTCTTCTGACGGCCCCTGGGCCCAGCGAGGGCACCTGGCGGTCGAGAACAGCCTGCGTGTCGCTCGTCGTGTCGCGGCGGCGGCCCCGGCGACACGCTCTACCCTGCGAGCGGATAGCGTGTCGCTCCGCTCCGCGGGGCCAGAGGCTGGGAACAGCTCGAGGCGTTGACTCCGGGTGACTGGGAAGTGCATCGCACGTCGTGCCGAGGCGTGGTGGGCCAGCACCGGCGGCGCGACCCGCTGAGCCACACCTCCGGACCACAAGCCCTCCGCCACCGTCTGCCTCTTCTTCCAAGACGTGAGGCCCGTCATCGGGGCCCCCGCCTGCCCCCTTCCCGGCTGGCTCGCGCGACGAGGGCGCCGCCCCCCGCACCTGCCGCCGGGCTTCGAGCGGGCGAGGCGAGGGGCAGCTTTGGCCGCGCCACGGGGGTCTGCGTGAAACGGGCGCCCGGCTCGCCGGCGGCGAAGCCTGGGCTCCTACTCGGGGCAATGTCTGAGGCAGCAGCTGTGCACCTCCGCCCATCCCGGGCCAAGGCCGTCCGTTCGCACCAAGGGGCCGAACTCTGCGAAATAGTGGCGGCACGGACGCGCAGCCGTCAAATCCGACAGCGGGGGGTCCCTCGGGCGTGCCGAAGGCACTTTCATGGGATGTGCACTCGGCGCCCGCAAGATTGGCACGCGGGATGAACTGTCCGATGCTTTTTGAGCGACCTGCGTTTCACTGCTGTATCTTTCTTAGCCCGCGAATCGTGTCGACAAAATGTCCCGAGCCCAGGGCTGGCACACCCGTGCACCCAACGCCCTGAGCACACCGAGGCGACACTCTTCTCGGCCGTTCTCGGCCTCTGGGGGCTCGTTTCGGGCCCTGGGGCCGTCAATTGCTTGATCAGCCCGCATGGCACGCTGGCCCTGGGCGGAGGCTGGGCCGGCTATCTTTCTCACACCGCGCCCCGCGAGGCGCGACGTGCGGATCCCTTCGCGCGCCTTCGCGCTGCCGCCCTGGAGAAGGGCGTCTCCTCGACCCAAGCCGAGATACGCGAACCGCCCCTGGGGGTGACCTCGGGGGAAGGTTGAGGCCGGCCAAGAGGGGGGCGTCCCAGAGGGGGGGGGCGCAAATCATGGCCGTCGGCGTGTGCGCCGCCCAGGGGGCGGGCCAGGGACGTGACGAGAGAAGAAGAGGCGCCGTGAGATCTGGGGAAAGATCAGGGCCCACGCCATGATACCCCCCCCCCCAATTAATCATCCCCCCCCTCTTGGCCGCCCCCGAGAAAGGGGCCGGAATTTCCGGGGGCCGGGCATGGAATACAGCAAGGTCGGACGTCTGGGCAGGCGGCCTCTGGGCCTCGCCCAGGGAGACCGCACGCCCGGGCATGGCCAGGGGCAGCGTGGTGGTGCAGCGCTCGGGGGCCGTCCAGGGGGGGCTTGCAAATCAGGGTCCGAGGCATGTGCGCGGATCAGGGGGAGGGACCAGGGAACGCATCGAATGAAGAAGAGGGGCTATGAGATCAGGTGAGATATCGTGGCCCCCGCCATGAGATCCACCTGGTCATCAGCCCCCTCTTGGCTGCCCCCAGAACTGCATACCTGGACATTGCCGTGATAGCGTGGTGGCACAGTGCAGAGACGAGGACCGTGGCTCAACCACCCTCCAGGCCTGCGCGCTCGCGTGATACAGGGAACACCTGGCCCGCGCAGGTCGGGTCGGACGAAAGACGGGGCCACGTGGTAGAGTCAACCCGTAGCGTAAGGATGCGCGATAAGGATGCAAGTGCCTTGGACGCCCATCTCGAAGCATTTCGAGCGGGGCGCGGCCAACGAACGCGGCGAAGGATGGATCGCGGAGGCAAAGATGCAAAAAGGTACCCTTACTATGCGGGTTGACTGCAGGATGGGGGGTTCGCGGATCAGCTCGCGTACAGCTGGTTTCCCCAGCGCCAGAG